TGGCCCAAAAGGTGTGTTTTACCTTACTTTTGCACCATTACACACACCATTACACCTTAGTCCGAGATTTGGGGGAGTTGTTTCTTGAGTTTTGGACTGGTTTTGATCCAAAGAAGGAGGCTAGACCACTTGATCCAAAGAAGGAGGCTAGACCACTTGCTTCTTGGGTTCAAAAGGATAGCATGTGTGCTTGTTGTTTCTTGGCTTCATTTCAGTACTTTTTTAGGCTTCTTAGGTCTTATATAATCTCTGTTTTTGGTCGGATTTGGGCCCTCTTGAATGCTTGTGATATTTGCTTTGTATTGCTCCATTTTGCTTAAAAGTACAGCCCATGATTAAGCCATGATTTTGGTGTGTGTTGGTTTGGTTCCGTGGAGCATTTAGCATTGTTTTTCCATGTTTAAAATCTGTTGATTATCAACTTGGTCATGTTTAGCATGTTTGTTAGAGTTGCTTTGTATTTTGGCTTGGAAGCCTTGAGCATTTTGACCTCTAGCATGCATGGTTGTGTTTACCCCTTTTGATTTGGCATCATCTAGGGTCATATTTTAGTCCAAGAATCATGCTTGTATGTGTGCATGCATGGCCTCTTTCATGCCTTGAAGATGTGTCCTCTTATGCCTAAGAATGAGCCTTAGTTTGTTTGTTTCATGGGGGATATTTTAGTTGCCATATTAGGAGCTTCTTGGGGTCCTATCTTGCATTCATAAATTCCTTTTTGGGCTTGTTTTGATCATGCCATGAGTGGTCATGGTAATGGGGGTGGGTTGTCTCCTCTTTGTGTCTTAACTTTGGGACCATGAATTTGTTTGATAACATGAGTTGATTGCCTACCATTTTAAGCACCTTTGGTCACTGTTTTGAGGAGGGTAAGGGTCTGTCCCTTTGTTTTTTTTAAAGCCCTCTTGCATGCTTGCTCCATGTTTGTTGGATAGTTGTTCCATTAAGCTTTGTAGCACATCAATAGCATTTTATTAAATTTAGCAAGTAAATACATAACTTCACTTTTACAAAGCATTACAAAGTATTACAAAGTTTTCTTCGGTTCGTCGACTTCTTCATCATCGCTCTTCTCAATTTCAAATGCAGAGAAGGGAAAATCATTCTATTGATACAACGGAAATGCCGAATCCAGCCCTGCTGACCGGAGACTCTCCGCTTGCTAAATCGCCTTGATCCAATCGTGCTTAAATCAGCGATTTTCGCATCGACAGACTTCTTCGGTGAGCTTCTCCTTGGTCTTCTGAATTCCGATCTTTCGGCCGTTGTGGAAGCCTTTTTCATAGGCCGTTGTCCTCGCAGTTGTAGACACCCCATTTTTGACCGTCCTCAAGACTTGGACGTCACTGTTTGAACACACGGTGATTATCCATGATCGTGTTCGTTCAGAGTTCCCGGAGGTCTCGGCTCGCGCGCCCTGCCTCAGGATCTCCGAACTTGACCGTTTAGTGTCTGGTTTTGCACCGAACACTTGTGTTTTACCTTGAAAGGGCAGGGAATGCCTTATGAGGCAACCCCACACACCACCGGCAGTGGCTGGAGGCCACCGGATGGTCTTTCTCTTCCATCGGCACTTTTGTTTGCCGGTCGGCACACTTTATTGCCGATCGGCATAATATGTTGCCGGTCGGCACTGTTTTTTGCCGAAATAGCATTTTTGGGCAGCCGACAACTGTTCATCCACTTTATGGAGATATTTTGTGCCAGCTGTGATAGCTGGCACCAACTCTTCCCCCCTCCATACACGTGTATGGAGGGATTTCCCTCTAGCCAAGCTTGTTGTATAAGCTTTGCAAGAGGGAGTCCTATAAGAGAGAGGCTTTCCTCTTGGTTCTAGGTTAGAAAGTTAGAAGCAAAAACCAGCCTTTAGAGATATAGATACATATTATCTCTATCCCTCTCTCTCTCTCTCCCTTCTTGTGTGTGTTTCTTAGCCCAAAAGGTGGTTTTTACCTTACTTTTGCACCATTACACACACCATTACACCTTATTCCGAGATTGAGGGACTTGGGGGGTTGTTTCTTGAGTTTTTGGACTGGTTTTGATCAAAAGAAGAGGGCTAGACCATTTGTTCTTCAAGGGTTCTTCAAGGGTGAGCATCTTGCTTTTTATTCCCCAAACTTGCAATAGTTTTCTACCTATCTTGCTTGCTGTTTTAGCTCTTATGTATAACATGAAAAAGGCTCATATTTTCCTGCTCTAGCACTTTCATTAAGGTCACTTTGTGGTTTGAGTGCAAACTCACCCTCATAGGCCTTGTTTGGTCTATTTTGGTGCCATTTTGATAAGGTTTTGTTCACTTCAGCATTTTGATCTTTTCATCACTAAAAATCAGTGTATTTTAGTGTCAAAAAAGGATGGTTTGAAGTCTTGCATAGGGGAGGAACACCCCTCTCCCTTTATGGTTTTGTTTCCTTGCTTTTTGGGCTCAAAAGGATAGCATGTGTGCTTGATGTTTCTTGGCCTCATTTCAATTTTTTTTTGGGTATTTTAGGTCATATGCAACCTCTGTTTTTGGCCGGATTTATGCCTCCTTGCATGCTTGTAATACTTGCTTTGTATTGCTCTACTTTGCTTAGAAGTACATATCATGATTAGGCCATGATTCTTGTGTATGTTGGCTTGGTCCCATGAAGCTTTTAGTATTGTTTTTCCATGCTTAAAGTTTGGTGGTTATCCATTTGATCATGCTTGACATGCTTGTTAGGGTTGCCTTGTATTTTGGCTTGAAAGCTTTGAGCATATTGACTTCTAGCATGTTTGTTTGTGATTACCCTCATGATTTAACATCATCTAAGGACCACATTTTAGTCCAAGAATCATGCTTGTATGTGTGCATGCATGGCCTCTTTCATGCCTTGAGGGTGTGTCCTCTTATGCCTAGGAATGAGCCTTAGTGCATATGCTTCATGGGAGATACTTTAGCTGCCATATTAGGAGTTTTTGGGGTCCTATTTTGCATGCAAAAATTCTTTTTTTTACTTGCTTTGATCATGCCATGAGAGGTCATGTTGGTGGGGGAAAGTTGTCCCCTTTTGTGCCTTAACTTTGGGACCATAAGTTTGCTTGTTCACACGAGTTGATTGTCTATCATTTTGAGCATTTTGGTGCTGTTTAGAGGAGAATAAAGGTCTGCACCTTTATCACTTTTAGACCCTCTTGCATGCTTGCTTCATGTTTGTTGCATGATTATTCCATTAAGCCTCGTAGCATATCAATCCCATGGTCAAATTGGTCCATGTTTGCATCATGTTTGTACCTTGTATGCTTGGCATCATACATTTTGTCATGTTGGTTGCATAATGTTTGTTGTGCTTTACATCTTGGTGGCATAGTGCATTTGAGCCTTATGAGCATAACATGCATTGCATTTACTCGGTTTGGGGTGTCAAACCAAGTGTGGGAATCAAGGACCATTCATACTTCAAGTAATGTAATGTGCCTCGATTCCCGGTCATCGGGACCTTTGACTCCAACTTGATAAGGCCTCGGTTTTCATTTTGTTTGTTGCATGCATCATCATATCAAATGGCAAATTTGATCCTTTGACCTGCCATGTACCATTGATGGTTCAAGGATCGAAAGTCATGCTTCCTTGAGTTCAAAACATGATAAGAAGTATGACCTTGCTTACATGTGTCCAAGAACTCCATGCCATGCACTGTCTGTTCTCTGTTTGCTGTCAAATTGTCTTCTGCAGGAAGTTTCTGCCGATCGGCAGAATTTAGTGCCGACCGGCACTATCCGGAGTGCCGATGAATCCAATAAAATGCCGATGGTAATTGTGAAGTGCCGGTGGTAATTCTGTCCGACCGGTGGTGCTCTGCAGGATGCAAGGAACTTGCTCCAATACTTTGGCAATTTTCAGAAAGACAAGGCAGTACAAACAGAGGCTGCAGGGGTACGGTACGGGTTTTCCGGACGAGACGGATTCGAGCATGCATCATTCGCGCATCCCGAGGCAGAGGCTGCGGCCACCCTTTTCTTTCCTTTGCCACCTTTTCTTTTAAATTAAATTAGAAATTTTTGTAATAATTTTATTTGTTTATTATTTGGGACTGTAATAGTCATTCGGACCCTCTGAGTAAGGGTAAACATGTAATAAGTGTGGGTGAGTGTGTGTATGTCTTCCAATCCCCATTTCTTTCTTCCCTTTTATTTACCTGCTTATGATGGTAGCTTAGGGCATTTTTGAAATTAGCATACCTTATGATATGCATGCGTGCATTCATGCATTTGTTGACATGCACCGGGCTCGGTACATCATACTAACCACATTCGTATTTTCAAATTCCAAAATTGAATACATGAAACAGTTGGTTGCATATCATATGCCATACTTAGGTTAACCGAGCCTAACTAAAATTGCATCTAATATTCTCTTATATAACAATAAAATTACATAAATTATTAACTAAAATATATTTCTAATATCATTAAAAATTATTAATTAATTTGATAATTTATTAATAAAATTAATTATTTATTATAAAATTTAAAAAAGCAAAGCATAATTTTTAAAATTATAATAACAATTCAACGTCTTTTCAATTCAACCCACAAATTCCATATCAGTTTATCATACGTCTAGCAATAGCTGGAGTTGAGTTAAGCACAGCCAACGGAACATGTTGATGTTTCGGATTTGCTTATTTGGTGATTTTTTGTTTTTTGTTTTTTTTTTTTTTAATTTATTTTTTTTTTTGTGAACCTTTTTTTTAAAAAAAATCAAAAAAAAATTCTTGATTCAGCTCGATAAGATGAATCAAAAAATTAAAAATTTTCACAAAAATTTGGAAAATACAAAAATAAGTAAAAATAATGAAATTCTTAAGTTTTTTTTTACTTTTTAATTTTTTAAAAAATTTTTCAAAAAAAAAAAAAAAACTTTACTTTTAGGTTAGTCTATGGCAAATCAAAAAAATAAAAAGTTTATGATTTTAAAAATAAATTATTAAAGACAAAAAACAATTTAAAAAAAGAGATAATTTTTTGGGAAAATTAGTCTAGGGTCCCTCTCCCACTTTTCATAATGGAAGAGATCCACAAAATTACTTTTTGATGTCTAAGGTCCCTAAATATATATCAGAGAAATTTGTCTTTGGTATCTAATTCGGACCTCACTTTGTTCATCGTAATGTCGAACATCTTCATGAGACTCTGTTGCTCTTGAATCTCCGCAAGCAACATAGTCACATGAGGGGGCGAAGAACCGAGCTGTTTCTTCAAGAAGCTCTGTTTCAACTCAGACAAAGATTTCAATTCGTACACCACAGCTTCATCAGCAGACTGAATCGCTTCGCAGTTGTAAGGAAACTGAGCCATTTGTAGCTCCGCGTAAGCGGCTTTGACAACTGAAATGGTGGCGAAGAGCTTCGCAGCAAAAGCTTCCATGGCAGCTCTGTTTCGAGACCTTGCTTCATCGTTATTGTTGTCTTTGTCGAAACGTTGTGAATCGTTTTTGAGTTTGTGGTCCTGAGGTATGAGCAAGCAAAACCCAGTATTTGAAAGGGATTTTGAGGCTTTTCTGAGGTGAATGACTTTGTGGAAGGTTTTGGCTAACTTGTTCTTGGTTGGAGCTGAACTGGGTTTCAGTGAATCCATGTGGGTTTTGTGAAAATCAGATGATGAGAGTGGCTTTTGGTCATGGATTGTGTATGAAACCAAAAGAAGAAAATACAGTGAGAGAGAGAAAAAAGAAGGTGGTTTTGACGAATACAGATCTTCGGTAGCACTTTCCTGTCGCCCTTCCTGTCGCCCTTTCGAAACGGCATCGTTTTGGTGAAAACGACGTCGTTTTCACCTTTTTTTTTTTAATTTTTCCCTAAAATTTGAAATTCCCTCTTATGACACATGCCCCTTTGGTTTGGTTGTGCCCTAGCCCCTCTGAGACGAAGCAGAGCTGAACAGGCGAAGAGGGCGAATCGATCGGGAGAGGCGAGGCGACGAAGACAGAGAGGCGAGGAGCGAGGGCGAGAGACGAAGACGGAGAGGCTTGGGACGAACACAGATTTGGTTTGACTCTCTTCCCTTCTGTGATTCATGCAAAGAATAAGAACAAATCAAGATTTGCTTGATTTGGGCATTTTGTGTATATTGAACTCGTTTTATAAGATATATGAAGAGCCTAGAGACATTAGTAATCTGAGACATTAGTCAATCTATTAAAGGAATTTTGTGGTTTCTGTGTTTGGAATTCCCTCACTGTCTCTCATCTTGATTGTTTTGAAGGTAGAAGTTTGAAATAAAGTTGTTATACTTGTTTTGTTGAATTCAACTTTATATATGGATAGATTCTTTTGTTTGTTTGCACAACAGTGTCCACTAGAAAACATTCCAGATTTTTCTTGTGTTGGATAGATTCTTTTGAAGGCTTTCAATTGTTTTTTGTTGTTGTGCTAGTATAACATTGTGATGAGAAATGTTGTTTGAATTTCTCAAAGTGTATTCCAGATTTTTTGATGCTTCATTCCAGATTTTTCCAGATTTTTTGAATTTTTAGTAAATTTTTGTGAAGAGAATCTGTTGTAGAACATTTTTCTAACAATAAATTTCTCTTCCAATATTATCTTTTTATGCAACTTTATTTAAAATTAGAAAATAGAAATGTGTAATTACTGTTTGGTTTGGTAATTATAGTGCAAACCTTTGTATGTTTAGGCATATACATCTGGCCTTTGCCCATGAAAGTCTATTCTTAACAAGGCATTTTTTTCATTTTTTTCCCTTCTTAACACTCTATTCCCTTCTTCATTTTTTTCATTCTATTCTTAACACTATCTTCCCTTCTTCATTTTTTTGCTTAATTAAATTGAGAGAAATAATCTTAATTAAATAATCTTAATTAAATTGGAGAGGTGTGCATGTGTCGGTTTGAGCAATTTGAGAGAAATAATCTTAATTAAATAATCTTAATTAAATTGTAGAGGTGTGCATGTGTCGGTTTGAGCAATTTGAGAGAAATAATCTTAATTAAATAATCTTAATTAAATTGTAGAGGTGTGCATGTGTCGGTTTGAGCAAAGAAAATTGTGAAAGATTGTAAGTTGGTCAGTTTCTCTGCTTTCAACTTTCTGTTTGATGTTGGGTGATGAACTTTCTGTGCTTGCAAGGTTTTGGTAGATTTTCTATTGGTTCAAAAAGACATTATAATTATCACTTATTAATAACTTTTTTCGTGTACAAGGGGCATGAATCTTGTATGTAGTTTTACCAGAATCAATTGATTTTTAAGCTTGCTTTTCTTTTTTAGCTTTTATCGATCCACTTTAAGCACCTTTTGTTTCATATAATAAAAATTAGTATTTTCCAAGTTTTGTGTCCTTCAAGTTTTTTTACTAACTAGTTTGATGTATTATTTATTATAATGCTTTTGACATTTGATTATTATTTATTATAATGCTTTTGACATTTGATTATGAAACTAAATGACATGTTCTCTTGTGAATGTCTTGTTATCGATAAGTCTTTACATGTTTACAGAAATCGGTCACAAAACACTCATAAACTAACGAATTCCACAACTAAAGAAACCCTTAAAAAATGGGTGTTCATTCTCCATAGTACAAATAGATAGTTGAAATATGTATAATTATTTCTAATTTTGTTTTGTTAATCAATTACGAAAATTATAATTCGGTCTTTTTTGTTAGAATGCATATAACCAAATCAAGGAAATCTTTTGTTTGTGAATACACAAGTTAGTTATCTACACTTGAAGTCAGAAAGAAAATGTCATGCATGCATGTCCATGGAAAGTTTGGTTAGATCTGTGTTGTATTTGAAATTGACTTTTGTGTTTACTTGTAATTAGGATTGACATGTCAACCAGTTCAAACAATGATGCTGGATTCTTTGAAAATAATAGATGCAAATGTAGGAAAAAAGCAGGAGTGTACATATCAGAATCAGAGAAAAATCCAGGGAAGATGTATTTCAAGTGCGCAAATAAGGATTGTGACTACTTTGCGTGGGGAGTGGCTTCTACTGGGAGTGGATCAAATATCCAAAAGATCGGATACGATTATGATTTTGCGAGAAACAATGAACTTGTGAATATCTTGGAATGACTTGACGCAAACCAACGAGAACGACTTGAAGCTATCAAATTCATGATGCTCACAACCATAGTGATGGTTGGTTTTACCATGCTAGTGGTGCTGCTTAAGTGAACTTGTATTTCTACTTAATGTAAACCAGTACTTGTAGAACTTGTTTAATTAATGAAGTTAAAGTTACTATGATATGTCAATTGTGTTAATTAATGAAATTGGGCGTTATGTATATGATGTATGAAGATTCATGTTATGAAAAGAAAGCGAATCTGATGTTATGTGAGCACAAAATTAATATAATGTTGCATGATGGTTGATCACTCCTTTACACAGGGCACTGTAATGCAATTCTTCCATGGGTTTTAGCATGATAAAGAAAGTAAAATGCCTAGCTTCTTCAAAGTAATCCTCAAAGAGGCATCTCAAAGCAAGCTTTCCAAATAACAAGATATATGATCACTCGAACATCCTGTATCACCTTACCCTGAGTCAACAAAATCAACTCCTAAACATTTCTCCATGCTGAGACAAGCAAACATATAGGAAATGAAGGCAAAGCGTGGTTGTAGAAACAACAAAGAATTGAACCTATGCCACTTGAATTGAACCTGTGCCACAAAGAATTGTAGATGACAACCATAATAACAACTTCATATATATGCATACACAAAAAGAACATTGTTCGGAAACACTAAATATACAGAAAAAAGATGTCCATGAAAAATGTCCAAATCCCGCGAAACATTAAATTTACATAAAAAAATATGTCCATCAAAAACATCCAAATCCCACCAAACATTAAAAATACATAAAAAATGTGTCCATCCAAAATATCTAAATCCCAGCAAACATAAAAATACATAAAAAAAAATATGTCCATCAAAAATATCCAAATCCCACCAAACATAAAAAAAATACACCAATATAATAACATCATTGTTTGGTGCAAGCCTTCCAAGGATGTCCATTCACATAACTGTCAGCAGGACTATATGAGGCTTGCGACAGTTGGACTGCACTAGTACCTCGAAGCAACTCCTGAAACGATGTTTGAGTGGGATATACTAAAGGCATTGAATGAGGCGCATTGATTGGGGCGCGTTATTTCCCTGCAATAGTGATACATTTATTAAAATATTTATACAATCTATACTACCATTTTTATGTAAAGTATGTAAGCAATTACAACTCACATCATATGTACGACCCATGGCAAAGGGAGGTTGAGATTGAGATTCAGGTCCAGATTGGGATTGAGAATTATAAATTGCACGACCATGACCCTAAAGCAAACCAACATAAAGAATAAGTGAAATTAAAAAAAAGTAATAATGCATTTTCATTTTAAAAAACATACAATATGAAAAGAATACCTCAACATAATTACTGCTCATGCCAAAAGGAGGTCGAGATTGACCTTGTGGAGTATAAACATCCTAAAGTAAACCAACATAAACAAAAAAATAAGTGAAAAACAAAAAAAAAGTAATAACGCATTTTCATTTTAAAAAACATACAATATGAAAAGAATACCTCAACAAAATTACTACTCATGCCAAAAGGAGGTCGAGATTGACCTTGTGGAGTATAAACACCCTAAAGTAAACCAACATAAACAAAAGAATAAGTGAAAATGAAAAAAAGTAATAATGCATTTTCATTTTAAAAAACATACAATATGAAAAGAATACCTCAACATAATTACTACTCATGCCAAAAGGAGGTCGAGATTGACCTTGTGGAGTAGAAACACCCTAAAGTAAACCAACATAAACAAAAGAATAAGTGAAAATGAAAAAAAGTAATAATGCATTTTCATTTTAAAAAACATACAATATGAAAAGAATACCTCAACATAATTACTACTCATGCCAAAAGGAGGTCGAGATTGACCTTGTGGAGTAGAAACACCCTAAAGTAAACCAACATAAACAAAAGAATAAGTGAAAATGAAAAAAAGTAATAATGCATTTTCATTTTAAAAAACATACAATATGAAAAGAATACCTCAACATAATTACTACTCATGCCAAAAGGAGGTCGAGATTGACCTTGTGGAGTAGAAACACCCTAAAGTAAACCAACATACACAAAAGAATAAGTGAAAATGAAAAAAAGTAATAACGCATTTTCATTTTAAAAAACATACAATATGAAAAGAATACCTCAACATAATTACTACTCATGCCAAAAAGAGGTCGAGATTGACCTTGCGGAGTGTAAACTGTAACACCCTATAGAACCAATGCACGAAAAAAAAAAGAAATTCACATGACAATATTGCAAGAAGAAGCAATTGAAGATATGTTGGTGCCGTATGAGGTTCAATTGCCCTAAGGTGTAT